GTAACTCCAAACGCTTCAATACAGTCCACTCCTGATCGGTGGTGAATGCTTTGCAATCAGTGTTTAGTATTAACTCGATTTCATCCATCATATCGTGAGAGGGTTTCACAATAAGCGACACAACTTCGGACGCCTGCGAGCCCTGACTGTCAGTCACCGTCAGTCGGAATAAATATCGGCCGGGAATTAGGTTTGTCAGTCTCAACACTGCACTGTATGACGAGTTGTCCAGTATATCCCCAAATGCCAGAGACTCTTGTGTCCGCCGCCACTCATACGACACTATCTCCACGTCGTCGTAGGATTGGCTACCATTTAGTATAACCTATTGTCAAGTCATATACAGTACAATTGACATCAATCCAAATCAATGATAAATTTATAAATATTAAGTCCATTACAAACCTGGCTAATAGGAAGTGTGACCGTGCGATCGCCCCCTCCATTGGCAACGGGGGGCGAATTTTTTGCTTGAATGACAGTTAGCTTAAAAAGTGCTGAAGAGTTGGCGCCCTTCGTGTCCCAAACGGTAAGCTGAAAGCTATACTCTCCGGGAAATAATTTGTTTGTTATGTTTGCCTTTGATTCGTTGGCATTAGTTATTTGCAACACTTTCGGACCTAAAAGTATTTCAATGTTAAATAGTTTGAATGATAATGTGTTGAATTGACTGACCATGTAGTTGTTGCCAAAGCCATTTGGTCACACCGGTATCGTCACTGGATTTAGTGCCGTCTAAAACAACACTGTTCTCCAAAGGGAGCACTACTTTGATGTCATGGGGGGTGATGGCCAGCGGAGGTCTATTGTTTTCGGGCTTCACAAACACATGCACTTCGGCTTTGGAGCTTTGGTTGGCGGTGTCGGTCACCGACAGTATAAACTTATAGACTCCCACTTCTAGTTTGGACAGATGTAACAAAGGTGTAGACGTGCCGTCCATATCCACCGCTATCTGTTTGCCACTCGTTTGGTCGTCAGGCGCTCGCGTCCATTGCCATAGGGCTATACCCTGTCATTCATTCAAGTATTTATTATTTTAATTTATCAATCATTATTAAATTAATAATTCATTATTATTATAAATTATCAAGAATGAACTTATATTTAAGAATAACATGTTTTATATTCAATGAAATATTCACTTCAAATGTCTGAAATATTTAATTACTGTATATTTCCTAACGATTTTTCATATACTTTACAGTAGTTTTATTGTAGCCGTTAAATACAATAGACAATAATGGGATTCAATTAAACTAATAATTAACACTTCAAATGTCTGAAATATTTAATTACTGTATATTTCCTAACGATTTTTCATATACTTTACAGTAGTTTTATTGTAGCCGTTAAATACAATAGACAATAATGGGATTCAATTAAACTAATAATTATATCAAATATAACTTATTTTCACATATATTTCTACTAATAATACATTTCGTTTCTTTAATTAAAAGTAATTAAAATTCTTGTATAGATTTTTCAAACGAAAACATGAAATTTATAATTATTTGCTTTATTTTTGACAATATTCAGCAATATGCAACTGTCTCCTCGAATACTGATTTATATCTAATTATGTAAAAATAACTTTTACCACAATGATTTTCACAAGTCAGTATATGATGCTGATACATTTTTAATCAAACCTTAAAATTTTGAGCAATATATTATTTCTAAAAATATGTAATTATGTATTTTAGAAGTCTTTTATTATAACATATAAACAACAAACAATTGATCACATATTTTAAGCCAAATAACATTGAATCTCATTTACCTTATCATCTGTGGACTGATTGCCCATAAGTGAGATCTCATTTTGAGGCAGGAATATAATTTGATCTTGGCCGGCGTTCGCTGTGGGCGGATAATCAATCTCTTTGAGCACAGTTACGTTGGCTATTGTGCTATTAGTGGCGCCGTCGGAGTCCGTCACTGTTAGATTCAATTGATATAAACCGGGCAACAGATCCTTCAATTGTAACGTAGGGTTGGGCGGAAAGTTGGTGTTTGTATACCCAATGGGAACTACCAATGCCTGCCTAAGAAGTGTAACCA